TAGCCATGGAAAAACCATGGAAACACAACAGGTATAACAGCTCACCAACGTGCCCAGTGGGGTGCTTACATGGAGAAGTAATTTTTTGCACATTCTTTATGTCCCTTAGCCAACCTCATTTCTCAGCCCCTGTCACTCCACAAAAACACTCCCAGTTCCCCAGCAGTAAGAGATCATGCTGAGGCAGACAGATCTCCCCCATACCCTGTACCTCCTGCTCCCCAAAAGGACACTGGTGCTCCCAATATCTGTACCCTTACTCCACCAAGCGGACTGGCATTCACCAGAGATGTCAGGAGCACTGAGTACCCTCCACAATCTAACTAGAGATGCTTTCAATCTCCAGTGTAAAACCCTGCAGTATTGCCACCCACAAAATCCCACTCTCCTGCTCTCATGGACTCAAGGACTGAAAATTATCAGGGTGCTGCCTTTGAACACCTATCAGCCAGCCATGTCTGAACCGTAATTCTGCAGTTTCCTCAAGTATTTTTCTGAGCTTCACTGTTTTGAAGTTGACAGGTATTGAAAGGTTGTGAACATGACTCCAGGGTTAAGATTAAATAAAATCCATAGACCAAGAAAAACTTCTCCTCCTCCTCCTCTCTTATGAAACACTCTGCAGAGTGAACAGAACATGAAATGCTTTCCATTCATTTTCTATTTTTAAACCCACTTGTTAATGTTTCTTGGCTTTTTAAAGCACCATTTGACTACAGCTCTATTAATTACCCAGTGGTCTCAGCAGTATGAATTTCTTCAGGACTTCTCCCCAAAGGCAACTCCACTCACTTTTAGCCTAGTTTGAATCTTCTCCCTGTTAACTTTCAGAGAAGCTTGGTTTCGGAAGTTTCTTGTGCTTGTTTCTCCTGCTACAATTAATATCTCCTGTATGTATTAAAGATATTCACATAAAATGGTTAGGACACGCAAAATGGGAAGGCTTTATATAGATGATGTTACCACTGAAAAGCCTTCTCACAGGTTTTATTAGTTGTCCTCTTGTGAAATCTCTAAACAGACTGAATGTGGTTTTAAGAGAGCATTTTGGAGTACAAAACTGTCAGCCTTTGAAAACTCATGTCCTGGTGGATCTTCATAAACAGCTTAGCTTGTTAATGCTTAGAGTCAGCACTAATCTCTCTCTCTTTTATTGTGATGCAGCTTAGTACTCTACTGCTTTTTACTGTACAGCTAACGATTAAACCAATTATTAGGAGTGAACGTCTGCCATGGTGATTATTCCTAATAGTTACCAGATATTCATGGCCTTGCTCCTCCACCAACCACTAGCTTTCACCTTGAACTCCCCTTCCTGCCAGCAGGCACTTTCACACCGGAACAAGGAGGTTGGATGTCTTCCTCCCACCATTCCTGCATTTCCCTTTTTTCCTCTCCAGATGTTTATACTCCTGAATTAAAGATAACTGCTACAAAATGCTCTTGGTTTTATTAATTTTATGTGCATTACCATTGCCCACAACCACAGAATCTATAAGATTGCAGTTATGTCTTTACAAGATCACCAATAACTTCTTGATAAGCATTAATTTTTTTCTTTGCCCCCTTATTTTTTTATTTTCTGAGAAGGAAAATAAAGACAGCAGGACTTCAGCAAGACAGCTGAAGTTACATCCCTACACATGTATTTAGAAACATAAAAAAGATTATGTGATTTTCATTTTGGGACACCAGAAAACTCCAGGTATTCACTACTGAAAATAAGTGTAGTTTAAAGGGTTTGTTTGTTTCATTTAATGAACCTGAAAATATGTAGTTTTGAAGGGAACTCTGAAGATCATCTTGCCCACCTCCTAATTCGAAGTATGGACAATTTGGACCAGATTGCTCAGAGTCTTGCTTAGCTCAGCTTTGAATTTCCCCAAAGGTAAAGACTTCATAGCCTCTTTGGACACCTGTTCAAATGTCTGACTCGCTCTCATGATGAAAATGATCCTCCTAACACACAACTGGAATTTCCTTTCTTGCAACCCCTTGTGCTACGACTGTGTATCTCAGAAGAGTCCAGCTGTCTTCTCTGCACCTTTCATCAGATAGCAATAGGCAGCAACAAGATCTCCACTTTGCTTTTTCTCACAAGACCAAACAAAACACACCTCATCCTTTTGCTTATATATCATGTTCTACAGTACCCAGACTTCATGGTGATCCTCATTTGACTCATTTCATTTATCAGTCTCCATTTATCTTCAGCAACTACAGATTCAGATACATGGGAACAAGTGCATTTCTGGCCTTTCTCCCCTTTCTTTTTGATGGGCACTCTACTTCTAATACAAGATGTTTATAGTGCAAAGCCAGTAACTTCTGCTAAGCACGATTTCCCTGTCTATGGACAAATTTCTTTATTCACAATGCCTACAGACTTTAAACAAAACAAATGCCTTCTGTGATTTCATTGTAAGTATATTAATTAGCAAAGAGCATTAATGTGCACCCTTAGTGCATCACCACCTCACCAGGAACATTTAATTGCTGCATCATGATGACAAACGAACAAGGGCTCAGTGTGTACTACCTTCATTAAAGTTGTCATCAGTCGAGATGTGGGTCAAGGGAGACTGGGGTCGAGAGTCTCCGCAGAGGGAGTAGCTGTGTTCTGCCTGGATGAGGGGTGCTGGGGATGCTGGAGACAGTTCCACCTCCATTATTTCATTCTTCTCTGACAAGAAGGGATCATTCAAGAGCTGGCCTAGGACATCGGGTGAAAACTCATCCAGGAACTCTGTGAAGTGCTGTGGAGATAAGAAAGAGGCGGGTGAGTTTATCTCCTTGCTTGTCTGTCATGCCAACAACAGGAGAGCATTGATCAGAACAATCCCAGTATCTGCAGCAGGCATCCGTGCCAGTCAGCAGCAGGATCTACCAGCCCTGCCTAAAGACCTCCTCCTCCAATCACTACTTCAAGCTGAAGATCTAGAGCTAGAACAAAAGTCCTCTCAGAGGCATACATTACAACAGAGGAGCCTGTGATTAACTTGCAACAAAAATCTTAAATAGAAGCATGGTAGCCATCTCCTTAAGCAGCCTCCTCCCCCCACCACCAAAGGCACTCACTACAGCATGCCACCAAAAACCATGTCCTGGAAAGCACATTTCACCCAGACAGCAATGAGAGATCCTGCAGGATTTATCACCAGAACACTTTGTGTACAGAATAGAACATACTGGGTTAATGTTCACTGAAGCAAAGAAGAAAAAAGAGACACACTCAGACAGACTCTGACACCACATACGACTATTTTAGCTGTGCAGAACGTACAGTGCGCTCTAGGAAAACGGGCCCATGCACATCCCCAGCCAAGCAATTAACACATTCACCATAAAACAGGTTTCCTGGTTGATTTATGTATCTATTTTAGGAGTCGCATTCCACCTAGGACTAGAACCCATATCCAGCTTCTAAGCCCCAGAGCTAAAGCTCCTGACAGCCAGTACTAATTACCACTTTTTCTTATTCAAAATCATCACAAACCAAATCTCGCCATCTACTTCCTTGAACGTACACACGCAGTTCCCATCAATAGCCAAAACTCTTCTTAATTCTGTTTCCAGTGTCAGAAGATTACACCTTTGACAGACCAAGAAACTGCACTGCAACAAATCATTCCTGATAGTCACATTCACACAAAGAATTCTATTTTTGTACAAAAATATTTGTACAATGAAATGTAACAAGCTCTTCCCAACAATCAGGCATTCTCTACCATCCTATATAGGAGTCTTTGTTGACTGACAGATGATCCTACAAAAGTCTATGTCTGTTTGATTTGCGCTGTTTTTGCAAGCGGTATTGATCTTGGCTCTTTATCTTGCTCTCTCCTGCAGAAACAAACACTGAAATTCAAGATTCAGCTTCCTGAAGGCTAAATCAAGAATTAAACAAGTCAATATTGTACAAACCCATGAGAGAAGCAGTGTGTTTACAGCCACACACACACACATTTCACAGCTCCAGCAGCACCTGTGGCCTTGAAGCCTGATGCTGAAAAACACTGAGAACTGCCAGCTCTCACAGACCCCTGGAAGTTTGAGCACCTCTTCCAAGATGCTCTCGAATGCTAACTACGTCTTCTTCCACAATCAATAAGGCTTCAGTCAATTCTGACTGACACCAAGGAAAAGAAAATATTTACTAAACAGAGGACCACAGTTGCTATGCTGGAACAGCAAGCTAGCTAAAGGAAAGCCTTTACAAATGGCAAAACAGATTTGTAGCCTCATATTTACTTACTGTAAATGATAACACTACTAAATAAACTCTCAGATGACTCAGCAAGAGGGTCATGACCACCTTTGAAAGACTTGTTTATTTTAATTTTGATACCAAAAGACTCACTAGCACATGACATCCAGGGCTGCCTCCCAACACCTGCAAGGATAGAAGTATAAACTACAATTCCCCATTACACAAAGAAGAAAAAGGATGCTCAAGAATAATTGATAACCCTGGTGCATCAATAAAGACACTGAGTAAAACAGGGTAGGCTGCCATTAAAGCGCAAATAGGAGAGAGAAATGCTTCCCAACCACAACGAACATCGAGCATGACACCTACAAAAAAGCAGTCCTTTCTTAAGGACAATTTTTTCCCCACAGTCTACACACTTTATTTGGGCTAATGGTGAGAGTCAATTTTATTTGTTTGTGTATTTCCCTCTTTCTAGTTTTTGCATGCATTATTCTGACTGATGACTAGCAGATGATGAACTAGGGCTGCAAACGGTATTTGTACCCTGTTTTCTACGCTCAGCTAGTGTCACCAGTGCCATCCAATCTGAGGCTTGAAAATATCATACCTAAGTGTTGACTTAATCTGACACTATTCAGATGCTCTAATTTAACAGACTCAACTGAAAGACAAAATGACCACAGGCAATTTGCCTATTTTTGGCAAATTAACAAATAAAGATTTCTATTAGCATTCTGTCTATTAATGCTTTGATACTGAAGAAATGAATATCAAATGTTATTTTACTTCTTCCATTTGATTAAAAGTATCTACATTAGATTATTTTTATTATTTTTCACTTTCTGAATGGGGAATCTTCCTAGAAGAGCCACTTCAGGAAAAGCAAAGAAGGAAACAAACATTCAACTTCCCAAAGCCAGAGAGAAAGAGGACCTTGGGATGGGGAAGGATGTTCAACAAGTTCATGAGCATTTGTGCTTTCTCCTTTTCACATGCAGCTGCAAAGCAGCAAACTGAGGAAGAAAAGAATTTGCATTTACAACAGAACTGTGTGATAGCAGATAAATGGTCAATGAGGTTTTCTTACACAATTCTCTAGTTTCATTATAATTTTTAACCTTATTTTTAATGGTCTGTGACACAACTTTGAATACAGGTCAATAGAGAAGCCTCAAACAATTGCCTCGGGTCAGACCACACAGCTACTGAACGCCAGGCACAGACAATTTTAGGGATCTGGACTTCTCACTCAGTGATTACAAAAAAACCAGCACCACTTGATTTACAGAAATCTACCGTATGTTATACACATCTCTACTATATTGAATGCGTAAAGCTAGCTCACTTTGATTTTTTTGTTTGTTAATAAAACAATTGTCTCATTGAAAGCAGGGCCATTTGCTCAGAGGATTCAAACAGAAAAGGCATCTGAGCAGCAGCTACAGCAGAAACCACCCAGGAGCAGTTAGGTCTCCAGGTCTCCAAAACTTCCACCTACACCTAAGCTGCTCCCTCTGTCTTTTCAAAGCAAGTTCCCCTTGCCAACCTTCCTTCCCCTGCTCTCCATGTTCTCCTCTGTGCTTCCACATGCAACTTGACACCCATCAGCCACTTCCAGGGCTGGAAAGCCACAAAGTAACGCTCAATTCTGACATGGTAGTAACCACCCCCCTGCTCTCAGTAACAGGAAAGGAAACTTTAGGGAGGAAACAAACTTTTGCCCTTAAAACCTGTATATATATTTGCTCACAAAAAAATGAAATTCTTTGTCTGTGGCTTTCAGCTTGGCGTCTTTCGTCCAAAGAGTTCACCTTTAAAAAAACAAAGGAGAAAAGAGCACTTGCATTGAAAACATGCCTTTTTTTTCTTCTTTTTTTTTCCCCCCCTTGTTTTTAATACCTCTGTAGACAGCTCCACTGCCAGCTTCCTGCTACCCTCACACCCCACTGGCAGTCACAGCACTAATTGCAGACATGTGTTGGTACAAGGAGTCTGCTTGAATTATTAAACTATTCTCTCTACATAGCAGAGATGTGTCCAGCTGGGATTTTAACCTCTAAAAGGCCAGGGATTTAGGACAGATGTAACCTTATCTTCCGCTTCCCCATCCCCTTGAGCCTTGAAAAGACAAACAAACTAGCAGCACCCCTGTTTACAGAGAGAAAGTCAGTTGCAGCCCCATAGAGTTCTACCACGAATCTGGTTGGATGTTTGCTCTTGCCTATAGCCCAGATGCTTTTGGGGAACACAGAACACCTACAGACATCACCCTGTGGTAAGCAAACAGAGGAGAGCCCTTATATCCGGGTGCACGATGGGTTTTGGATAGCTTCGAAGGTAGTATTTGGCTGCAGACCAGCTGTGCCGCGGGCTCGGCTCTCCACAGCATCTGCCTGTTCCTGTCAGACAAAGGCCCTTTTCTCCAGCTCTGCTTAAGGGACAAGGGTTAGTCTCATCAAATGAACACCTCTGAAGTAAAACAGAGACTCAGGTTTTGCTAGGTGCGTGGCAGTGCTGTCTTCTCCACCAGAAGTACTAGCCCCAGTTGTCTTAAAGATGTGACATGGACTAAAATGAAACAGTCATGCTCAGAAAACTAAGAACTCACTGAAAAACGAATGAAGAGAAGTCAAGAGCCCCACATGACACTTCATAACTATACTTGAATTATTAAGCGAGTAACAGGCTTTGCTGAGCCTGGAAAATGCACTGTGTCAGCTCCAAGTCCCACACACTGACTGCAGCAGCACAATCCACCCCTTCCAGCAGAACCACCCTAGAGGGATGCTGCAGTGGCAGCACCCTGACACACTGCAAAACAAGTCCTGCTCTCCAAGCAGCCCAGGGCAAGCCAGGCCACATGCAACGTGCTGGGGTGAGAACCACCCACAAACTCAAGATACTCCCCTCTTGGGAGTTCATGGCTCTCTCCTGGCACACCCTGAGGTCTCCCCATCCTGGAGGCATCAATCCCCCCTCCACAAGAGGAACTGCCCAGGTGGGAGCATCCCTTCTACCCAACAGACACTCACAGGATAAAAATGAAGCCCATCATCTACCCATGGGTACAAAAGTGTCTGGTATTTATCCCTTGTAAAGCCTGAGCAGCAGTAATGGGGTGTGAGGGGCAAGGACTGCATCCTTACTTCTGTATCAAAGGAATCAGTGTCCATGTAATGTACAAGAGGCAGTGCTCCGTGAGAAGATGAAGAGGAAAGAGGGGAGACCACAAACCATACCCCATCCATGGGGAAGTAAACGTGCACCAGAGACATTAATTTGCCCCCTCCTTTCCGCCCCTCGCCCCAAATTCCTCTCACATTAAGATAACAGAGAGAAAAGGGAATAACTTCTTCAGCATCTCTTTTGTGGTTTACATAAACAAAGGTGCGTAGGAGATAAAACACAAACTATCACAAAAGATAGCATCATTTCTAGTTAATAGCATCAAACGGATCAAGAAGCATGGCTACATGGAGATACCATCTCCTCTTCAAGGAACCAAGCACACGTTTCACAGACATCTGGCAGCTGCTTATATAG